GCTGCTTCAGCTCCGCTCACCTGCCACGACTGCAGAGAGCCTGGCGTGTGACGGCAGGATGATGCCAGTGAGCATCCATGCAGCTGCGCCTGGCTACAGCTACAGAGAGAGCTGGCAGCTCTCAGAGGTGCTGTCTGAGGCAAAACCCAGCAAACATTTTCCGGCTGAACTGGACTTTAAATTTTATACTCTGTCAGAATGATGGACAGAGTCAGAGATGACTTAAACGGCAGCAGCACTGCAGTAAAATACAGGTATCCACAGTAAGAGCAATCTTGGAAGTTACACATCCCAGTCCCTACCCTGTTTAACACCATGACATTCAACACCAGTGATACTCTTTAAATATCACTCTAACAGAGAAAAAAAGACCAGTAAAATCCCAATGTACTTTAGCTCCATGCTTAGCAGAAAAATTAAATACTGAAGAGGTCTTACCTAGGTTTCAGACAGCCAAGTGTTTCAGCTGGAAATGAGCACAGCCGACTGAGGGAAGCAAGGAAAGGCATACCTGTGTGCTTCAGGTGGAGAAGACAGCCCGTCCCCCGAGGCACTGAGGTGTAGGTGAGAATGAGACCCAGCCTGCAACCTGCCAAAGGCTTGATTTGTGAACTCTGTCTGCCGGAGCTTCTGCCATCAGTAAATATGTGCAGTGAAAGAAAATTGTGACAGGTTAAGTTCACAGCAGAAAAAGTTCATGCAGCTGGAAAGAGAAGGCTGGGACTTTTAAAGTGCTGGCAAACAACTCTAATTGTTTGATTAAACAAATGTTCAGTTGGTCCGGTTTGCAACCAAACATCAAAGTCTTCACAGCTACTTAATATCAGAAGTCTAGTGGCACTGGTTTATCTGAAAATGGGCTAGAAAGGACAATTTTGGGTACAGGCAGTCTGGAAGGGCTAATTTTGGGCTTTGAGGCGACTGCAAACATGCGTACCTGAAAGCAGTGATTGCATCCAAGGGGACGTATAGAGCCAGCTTCGGATCAGCCCAAGCTCTGAATCACTACTGTGAGCACTAGGGGTTTTTTTCAATTTAAAGCTAAAGACAACAGGGCAATTTGAGTCACAGCCTTGCATTTCAGCACAAGCTTTGCCTGTAGCTGCCCACAGCGGCAAGCACGGGGCAGGGCGGTGTGTGGTGTATGGCACGGTGACAGGAAACACTGTGATGGAGCTCCGATGTGGCATTCACCAGCTCACACACAGAACTCACCACTGGTTTCTGGTACCTTTGTTGAAACCTGAGGCGCTTTGATTTCAGTTTTCAGAATGGCAGTTGTTTTGGGTACAGATTTTTAGTTGTGATATGTTTGTTATCAGTTCTCCTCTGACTGCTTGTAAGGCTTAATTAACGATTGTCTGTAAAGCATCATCACATCCTCAAACAGAAGGTTTTCTATACATGCAAAATATGATTTATAAACTAATAATTACTTTTCTTTTGGTAGTCCCTATTCTATCAGAAAAAAAAAGAAACGTGTTATTTAATTCTATTGCAATACTCAGTACTAAGTGTCCTCTGCCATTACTATGATTGTTCACTCTAGCAGAAATAATTCATATACTTACATTTTTTGAAATTATTTTCCTCAAGTGCCTGTGGAAATTACTTGTGGGAGACTTTTTTCAGGCTAATTTAATCTGCATTTGGTTTGTATTCATGCAAGATCAGTTATTGTACAGATGTTTTATATTTAGTGGGTCTCAATATTAAGAAATAAAAGAGTAAATGTTACATTAAGATATTAATTTTACTTTTTATATGTAAGCATAATGTGTCAAAGCATGTGTCAAGTACTCTCTGAAAGAGTGACATTTAACTGAAGAAAGTATTATTATGCTGCTACTAAATTATAGAATGGTTGATGTTTTATTAGCTTATTTGGTAGGGAATTCAGATTTTTTTACAGAAAAGTTATGTGAGAAGTAAATATCAAGGAAGATTTATTTGCAGAATATAGCCATGCCTGTGTTTTGATTTATGTAGGACTCCAAGCAAGAAGGAGGTTTTAAACCGCTTGAGGCAGGGATTAAGGAACTCTTTCTTGCTTCTTTAATCTCTCCACTGGTAAAGGATCTGGATTTATAATGCATCACTCGTCCCGTGCTGGCTGGAGGGTAGATAGCATTGGTGCATGATTTTTCAAGTCATCACAGGTCCTATGGTTGCCATTTCTTGGGCCCAAGGCATATCCGTAATACACACAAAGGACAGGAATTGCTAGCACTTGTGGTGGTTTGCATTTCAGCATATACTCCCTTCACAGACACCAACCAGCAGCGAGGGAGAGGGCAGGAGTCCAGGCACTGGCCATGGTTCAGAGCCCGGCCCGAGGACACCGGCTAATGGGCAGCGGGCACCAGCCCATACAAGTGTGCACTTTCCTCCAATGGACATTCCGAACAAAAATGTCTCTTTGGATATATGGATTTATTCCCTTGTAATGATAATGTGAAAAACATCAGAAAAAAAAAAAAACAAAACAACAAAAACAACCAACTGTTTTTCTTTAAAGTTTCAATGAGAAATAAAATTATTTAAATCTTGGATTATTCTTGCCATGTGAAAAGCAAGGATTTAATCTAAACAAATCACCTGGGCTTCCTTTAGTCAATGGAGTGTGGAGGC